AAGAAAGAAGAAAAAAAGAGAGAGAAAAAGGGTATGAGCAAGAAGCAAGAATTTAACTTCTGTGTTTATTTGAGTTGTGAGTGAGTTTAAGAGTGTTTTGTAAACACGAGTGTATTTCTTTTTTCCAATAAAATATCTGCAGTAGTCCGGAGACGTAGACATTATTGGCCGAACTCCATTATCAAATTGGTGTGTCCAATTTTTATTTTTTATTTCACTTTTATAGATTCGACTTCATGGAAATTTGAGCGTATTTTTTCCAACAAAGAAAGGCATGCTAAATAACCAAGCTACTTCATTTTTTTTTTTTTTTCTCAAACCATGCTACTTCATCAAAGAACAAATATTGAAACAAAATATTGTTGGCTCTTTCGAGTATTTCCAACTGAATATTTACCTTTTTGCTAGTTCAATCACTACAACTAAAATTCGAAACAATTATTGTGATCAATAACTCCTGGCAAAGAGAATACACATTTTCATGCATAAAGTAAAAAAGTTAAAACAATTTAATCAGGACTGATAATCCTAGAGAAAAAAACTCGAGTCAGAATATATTCATTTCGAGTATTCTGATTTCAAGTAAAGGATATTGTCACCTGAAACAAACTACTTTAACATATTTGAAAAGTAATACAACATATGGAAGTTTCAGCTTTCTATTACGTATATCTTGGGAAACTTAGGCACTGGCCACATTTAATATAACATTATCATTTGTTTGCTGGAAGATTATAAAGTTAAATCCATATCACCTATCAGTAGAATGCAGTTACATACATCTACACAGAAAACGACATTACTACAAATTATCTTGACTATAAATTCCTCAGTCTTCACATGGACCATAAGTCTGCAGCATCACTATGTCAGGAGGAGCATAAAAAACTTAGGAAAAGTGATGATGATGAAGATGATTCTAATAATCACAACATAATAACGGAGAAGTATAACCTGAACTCAGTTCAGAAAATATAAGTACATACCAGAAACAATACACTGAGTTTCAGGTTCAACAAAAAAAGTTAGTAACGACATAAACCCGAATATATACATGCATAAGCAAAGATAAATGGCATTCAAAATTTCCCCACTCCATACTGACTTCAATAATGTCAATAATGATAGGTCGAAAAATGTGCATATTTTCTATGTTTAACAGTGTATTTTTATACGCTAAGATTAGCCGTACTTCTACATTTTTTGGCGTACTTATTTCGTGGACGAACATACACCAAAATAATATATTTTGTTATTATTTTACAGCGCTTTCATTGTGAAATCGGTCCAATGTAGTCCTTTTACGAGCTACCAATAGTTCGTGTGAAGAATGCTCGTATATTGGATCAAACAACATGGAAATTTTTACAGCATCTTTTACCATAGAATAGAACGCCAGTTACCTTGAATGAAATTTTGCTCTTCACCTCACTTTCTAGGGTTTCAGTCATTGACTGCAAACCAAGGAGGTGAAATTAAAGATGATTCAAATCGAAACTATGCATATCATTAACAGATAAATCCGGACCATAATCATGGAACTCAAGTTCAAGTAAAACCTTCAACATCAGTTTTCAGTCAACCATTGTATATGAACTATCAAAACATTGAACTATAGGATGTGGGTCAGCCCCAAATTGCCTCCACTTCCAATAACTCCAAATCTGTAAACTGGAACCTATATCCCACACAGACCACGGGCAGAGCAGGGGTCCTAGTCCAAAAATTTAAGAAAATGGTGTGTAGCCATACTCATTTGAAGAGATTTCCAGCAATCTAACATGTATTTCATTAATTAATCTTCAGTGCTCTTCTGCACTCATGTAAAATGAATCCTTAGATTTTATTTTAAGGACAACAGAAGGGGAAAAACACCTTATCGAACTGAATCAGTACTTGAATGGCGAGCTCGGGCGAAAGAATTCCGCTTGAAACCATCTGATCCAAAGTTTCAGTCAAGCACATTCCAATCGTAGACCTCCTGTACAACTCAAAACTCGCCATTTCCCCTACAACGACAATATGTATTATCTTACATATTACCGACGAACAAAGATAAACAAATAATCAGATTCGTTCCTCGAAGAAAAATAATAACAGCTAAAATCACAGATGAGAAACATCAAATCATCGAAGAAACAGAATTTACCCGCTCGTTTGATCGCTAAGAGCACGCTGATTCAGAAATTTACAGGAAGGGGTTTTGTGTCGCGAGGCAAACAGGCATGGTAGAGAGAAGAGGGAGAGAAATTGGAGCCTTATATACCTAGATTTTGGAGATGGGGGATTATATAGGCGAGTGCTCCAACCGACAATAGACAATAATAGCCTCAAGGGTTTCCATCAATTACGAACTTAAAAGTATTCATTTAAATTTTGTCCAATTATCTTCCTTACCAATGTCATTGAGTATATCGATTTACAAAGCTACCAATTCAAATAGTACTCCCTCTATTTTGAAATATAAGGCATTTAAGGTTATTGCACAAATATTAAGGAGACATTAATTAATGAATAAATTGACTACATTAACCTTATTTTACTCTAATCACAACCACTCCACACTTCCTTAATTTCAACACAATGAGGATATATTTAGAAAAAAAATGCAAAAATTTGTCTTAATTTTTGAGCGCGCCTTATATTTAAAAAAATTGAGAAATCTTTATACGCCTTATATTTCAAAATGGAGGGAGTACATGTTAACCTTAAAAATATTTGTATACTAGTTCATATCTCTTACATTTTTTTAGATTTTGAGATCTTAGGGTTTAATGTACATATAATGAGTTTTGATTGGTTTTTTGGATTAATTATGATTAATTTTGAAAAAACTAATTGAATTAGGTTTAAGTACAATTTTTTTATATTTAAATAATACTAGTACGACACCATATAAATACACGGGTGTTGAATTAGAAAGCATATATAAAAAAATTATTTTATTTAAAATAAAATAAATTAATTTTATATAAAACATTACTTTGGGTTTTAATTAAATTGTCAAATTATATTTTTTTAATCATAATAATTAAACACCCGTATATTAAATAAAAATGTTAACTCATATTGAATTTTACTTATATCATATAAAATTATAGATATTATTTACTATTATTAAGTAGAAAAATATATATCTTAAATAAATAGAAATAATATGGTAATATACATATGCATAAGCAGAATATGTTTATTTAATATTAAGCAAAACAGATTAATTTTATGCAGAATATGTTTATTTAATATTAATCAAAATAGATTAATTTTATGCAGAATATGTTTATTTAATATTAAGCAAAATAGATTAATTTTTTACTTAATAAAGAGAGAAAAAGCAAAAGATTGTAACTTTGGGTTAGGGAACACAATACGTTAACTCGTCGATCAAATCCGACAACCCTACGAATAAAAAAAAAATTAAAGACCCACAAAATTCTTAGTGGAGCACATGAATTAAGCATCTAGAGGTGGAGAAAAATCAGTAATAATAGATCATTTAATTTAATAATAAATATAATTTTGGGAGCAATATTGATATATGATTCTTAACATTTGATTGGTATAGGATTCTTAACCCGTGTAATTTTGTGGTTCAATATTGATAGTTTCACACTTATTTACACGACATATAAAGTTGGAGGAGATAAAAATTCTATTTAACTGTTATTTTATTGCCCACAAATAAAGTGTTAAAAGATATTTTACAATTAAATCAATTCTACTTTGTTGTAAAAAAATCTTAATTAACTACAATTGGTCATCTTTTCCTACATAAAGTGACAGTACTACTTTTGATCATAGGCACAACTTCGTATGTGGATTATTAATTAGCGGAGTCATATTCCAGAATATAATTGATAAATAACATTATTTTTCTAATTAATATTAAAAATAATTTTATTATTGTTATAAAAATGAATATAAATTTTTTTATACACACAATATGGATGTTAAATCGAAGTTCATCAAGAGATGATTAATTTGATATATTATATATGTAAAACTGATAAGAAATACAAAAGTTATTAACTTAATAAAGAATAATGTAATTTTATTTGATATATTTATGGATAATCCGACAATATAATTGTATTATTTTGAAGGATATATTATAATATTAAGCAAAAAAATCATATTTACACCGCATATAAGATAAGAATCCTATTTATTTTGGAGTTGGAGGATTTACGGCATATAAGAATCCTATCTATTTTTGGAGTTGGAGGGGATCGGATTAAGCAAAAATCTTATTTATTAAGTATTTTATTTTAAACAATTAGGGAATGTATCCGAACAAAAAACTGAAGCTTGTAAAGCTGCCAAGTAAGCTTCCGAAACATGCGAGGCAGCCATTTAGGCTCAGCACGTTTTGAAATTATATTAAGACGGGATTTCAAATTAAATAATTAAAGTTGATTTGATGTAACATGATAGATATGATTAGAAGTGATAGATAGTTAAAATTATGTGAGTGAGTGAATGACGAATTAAAGTTATGTGATGTGTAAGGATATTGATTGATATATTTTTTCCAAGACATACTCATTCATGGCTAGTTCGATTTTGCCCTCACCTACTAAAATCATGACACGTGTTTTACTTTTTTTTTAATATATTTTTTATTTTTTTAATAAAAAATATTCATATAACCAACCAACCTAAACCATAGTTAACACAAGTAACCCTACAATCACAATTACCACGATTGAAGCATGGTTAAACTTAAAATTCAATAGAAAAAATTAACCCTAGTCCTCATTCCCACTTTGCACCGTCACCACCTCTGCGCCGCTCGGCCTAACTCATCACGGCCTCAATCCCGCCGTCACCACCTCTGCGCTGCCCGGCCCGACTCGTCACGGCCTCGGTCTCTTCCGTCACCACCCGTCACCCCGTCACTGACCGACGACACCAACCCGTCACCCCGTCACCATTCGACTCCACCCCGACCGGAGACCCATCGCCGCCTTAGGCCCGCCTGTCACCACCTCGGCTAACCCTTAACCACTCCGGCGCTCCGTCACTACCGCGACGCCCTCAACGCTCGACTCCACCCCGGTTGGAGACCAGGTCACTAGCCCGATACCACCCATTCCCACCCACAATCGTGTTGCCTTCCCGAACAGGCGATCAAAAGTGAAATTGGCAACATCCCAATTTATCCCCTCAGTTTTCTGAAATAGGTACTTGCTAATTTCAATTTATTCATTATCTCCAAGCAAAAATCATGGAACTGATGTTTTTTTTTTTTTTTTCTGCAAAAATTGTAGGAACATGGACATCAATTCATCGTTTTTAGATGAGGATTTGAATGGAGCAATTGTTAGGACCCGTGAAGATCTCGTTATGTACAAGTCATGAATCGAATAATCAGTAATAAAACTACGCGTAGTGGATCTAGAGGTTGAAGAATGAAAACTTAAGGCTTTAAAATTGCCGACTCAGAGACATTGTAGATTTTCACTATTGGAGATCGTCTGGACTCTTTGAATCCGTTGGGCAATCAGATTTCTTCTCGTCAGACGTTGAGATGTCACCGAGGGCATCTCGCGGACGTCGACTCTCGATCGAGCGGGGACAGTAGCAAGCAGGTCACGGTCGCCGGGGTGGACATGCGATGAATTCGGGCTACTACGTACGGGCGTGACGGGCTGCTGCTGCGATGGGGTTGTGCATGGTGATCACCAGGAACACGTCTTGTCTTGATCGCGTGTAGTACCTGGTCACTCGCGGTGGCTCGCGTGTATGTCTGGTCGCGCTCGGCTGAAGACATGGGCATGCGGTGGTCGCCCGGGCTCACGTGGTCGTGTCTCATCTCTGGGGTCTCAGTTATCTGTGGGACTTTTTCTATTACCCAACACCTCTGCGGTTGTCTTGTTGGAGCAACAAACACGAAGACTAAGCTCGGGGGATAAAGGGGTCGGCCGAGTTGTACGCATGAGGCGTGAGTTATGAATTATTATTAGTCCCATGAGCTTAATGGTATATTTATAGAGCTATAGAAGGAATACTAAGGAGGTGATGATGCGGGCTTCTTAAGTCATTGGTCCCAACTGTGGGCCAAACCCACTTGGTTCAATAACTTAAATAATGTTTCGGTCCACTAACGAAACATTATTGCACTCCTTTATCATCCTCGAACTATATTCGAGGCTCCAATAATAATTACTCGAATGATCTCCCCACGTTTAAGAGATAATGTCCATCAATTCATCCGATTACTGACAATCAAGAATTAATTGACATCTTGAACCGAAGCTAACACCACTCAGATCTTTACTATCATGTTGGAACTTAATCCACCTGCAGGGTTTAACATAATAATCCTTCATGTGCTTACTTCGGGGACATCATCAAACTAACGCACATGGTGACCGTAAATATTCTAACAACACATTCTACATGCAACACTATTACCCAAACCACGAAGACTATTGACCCAACAGAATGGATCTCGCTTTTGGTCAATCAAAGTAATAGCTACTGCATGTACATGCATGTTTATATATCACAGGTTAAAAAAACACAGTAATTAACCAAGGCCTAGTTCGCTTATGACTATCAGTATAAAATGAATTGCTCCTCTTTGGGATCCTGTTTAATACATAAATATACTAGTGCAACTAATCAGTCAAGATCAACTGTACGGTTGACACTACAACTGTTATGATGGTTTGTTCATTCCCATCTAGGTTGTCAACCAATAATTCTTGTATCGCAAGTTACTGATAAAATGAACTATTTTTATCTAAGTGCAAAATAACAGAACATAAACCTTGTTTAATCAAACATGATTCCCATTCAATAGAAATAGTGTAAATAATGTCTAAAGCAAAGCTTTCAGTATATACAGTAACACCAATATTGGAGCAGATGACTTTTTTTGTGTTGATTTAAAGGATCCCGGATTGGAGGCGTCTGAGTTTATACCCACTGAATATGGTGAGGTACAATCTTCAAATAATATTGTTGATGTTTTAGAGGGTAAATTAGTTGTGGGTTCAATGGTGAATGGTATTGAAGATGTTTATTTGCTTTGTTGTCAATATGCACATGCTAAAGGATTTAGCGTTAGAAAAGGAAATCAACGTTGTTTTTCCCGTAGTAGTGAAATTCAGTTGAAGATTTTTAATGACATAAATCACCACATGAATAGTGTTTTGTTTGGCTTGACTTTTATGTCGGAAGAAACTCAAAGTTCATTTGAATTGTTGTTCACGACATTTCTTGATTGAATGAATGGTAAAAACCTCAAATAATATCTTCTGATCAATGTCACACCATGATGAATGCAATAGAAAATATTTTTCCGAATTCTTCTCATCGTTTGTGTCAGTGGGATATAAATCAAAATTTACCTAATATGAAGCTACCTCAGTTTCCTAACATACCGCTACCCATATTCCTGAATGTGACGCCACATCAGTTTCCATTCCAAGCTCCACAATTTTCACCTCAGTCCGGGTCAAGTCAAGCACATTGGCAATATCCTACTGAAGGGGTTAGATTTTTTTTCAAGTAAACACATGAAAAAAGATATGTATTTATATCTTATATATTTGTTCTGCAGGGAGGCACTGAAAATATAAATTTAGGTGGTCAACTGAATTTATTTGAATATCCATTTCCTCATTCATCTCAGGTTTAAGAATAGTATGACCTTGATGATATTTTAATTTTGTCAAGGATAAAAGAATATTGATTCAAATTAATGTATTTTTTGTCGTTAATAAGGTTCATCTCATGACAAACAGAACTGAAATTTGGAGATTGGAGCATGTCTTATTGCAATATTTCGTAATATAGGACTATTTTAGAGATTGTAGAAGAAATCAGATGTTTTCTTTTTGTTTTTAGAAAATCTAATTTTTGGGTTATCATGATAATTTGTTATGGCAGCTAGAAAATGTATACCTTGGAGTATTTGAACAGTTGTGTTTTGGATTTAAGATTGCAAAATGAAGATGCAAATGTACTGTGAGACTTGATTCTTTAATATTTTAGCTCAAGTTGTAGTATTATGTTTGTCTCATTCTATTCAAGTGCATCTGAAGTAGTATTGTGATTTAAATTTCTTTTTTTTTTTTTTAGNGAGAGTTCAGTGTAGGAGAAGATTTGTGTTTGATAAAAGGTGGCTTCAGAAAGAGGGAATTCAGGAGCTGGTCAAGAATACCTGAGAAGCAGAAGAAGGGGGAACACCCATGTTCAGTCTGAAAGAAAAGAGTAGGAAGACAAGGGTTGCTCTTTTCAATGGGCTAAAGCTTGCAAGAGTGGACACAAAGCAGATATTGATAAGATGACATTGAGGCTAGAGGAAATGAGGGAACTTGGAGGAGATAGAAACTGGGCAGAGTGGGAAAAGCTGCAGAAAGAGTTGGATAAAGCTCATTGCTCAGAGGAGAGTTTCTGGCAACAAAAATCTAGGATTTTATGGCTCAAAGAGGGAGACTCCAATACTAAGTTCTTTCATGCCATGACTGTACAAAGGAGAAAGCAAAATGCTATAACCAGACTGGTGGAGGGAGACAGAATTTTTCAAACTCAAAGTGAAATTGAAGGGCATGTGGTGAATTTTTATGAGACACTCTTTACTTCTGAGGGATCTGGTCAGGAAGCAGAAGCCATGCAACACATTTATCAAGTTCAGACCCATAAGCTTGTGTGGGGTGGTGTACAAGATTATTACTAAGATTCTTGCTGAAAGGTTGAGGAATTGCTTGGATGTCTGTATTAGTCAAGCTAAGGCTGCTTTCATTCCAGGCAAACAATTAGTTGATAATGTGATAATTGCTCAAGAATGTTTCCACTATCTAAATAGACATAGGTCTGGGGGTAACTGCTTTTTGGCTTTGAAGCTGGATATGCTCAAAGCTTATGATAGGGTGGAGTGGGGGTGTATTAGCAGTACAATGTTGAAAATGGGCTTTGATAATAAATTTGTGAAGTGGGTGATGTCATGTGTTTCTTCTCCTACTTTCTCCTTCTTAGTGAATGGCAAAACAACAGGGTATGTAAATTCCTCAAAAGGAATTAGACAAGGAGATCCAATATCTCCTTATCTTTTTCTTATTGTTTCTAAAGTTTTCTCATCACTCATCAAAGGGGCAGTTGAAGATGGCTGGTTTAAGGGTCTCAGAATTGCTAGAGAGGGCCCAACACTGACCCATCTGTTATTTGCAGATGATTCAATAGTCTTCTGCAAGGCTGAAATTGGGCAAGTGAGGTGCTTATTGAATATTTTGTCTATCTACCAGAGATTCTCAGGACAGAAAGTAAACCTTACTAAGTCTTCAGTGTTTTTCAGTAGAAACACTCCTGCTCAGTTACAAGATAGAATTTGCACTCTGCTGACTGGTATTCAGCTTCACACCTCCACAAGATACTTAGGACTTCCCTTGGGTATAGGGAAGTCTAAGTAGGAGACATTTGACTATGTGGTCCAAGCAGTGAGAAGCAGACTGTCCAACTGGAAGAGCAGACACCTTTCTACAGCAGGCAAAGAAGTCCTAATTAAAGCTGTTATCAATGCTTTACCAGTATTCTCAATGTCATGCTTCAAGTTACCATTGGGTATTTGTGAAGAACTCAGTAGACTTACTGCCTGCTTCTGGTGGAGCAAAGGGAAAGGTCAAGAGAGAGGTTTGCACTGGAAGAAGTGGAGCAACATCACTATTCCTAAAGTTGATGAAGGATTGGGCTTCCAAGACTACAAACTCTTCAATGAAGCAATGCTGGTCAAGCAACTATAGAGGGTAACTACTATGCCTGAGTTGTTAATGAGTCAAGTCATCAAAAGCAGGTATTTTCCATGCTCTTCTATTTTTGATGTGAAAAAAAGCCAGTTAGGTTCTTAAATGTGGAATAGCTGGGTTGAGATGATCCCTTTCTTTGCTAGTGGATTAATTAGAGAAGTTCATGATGGTAAACAAACAAAAATTCTGGACCATAGCTGGGTGTCTAGCCTTAAACATAAGTGTCCTTCTCTTAATCCATTTGTTCATTTGCCTGGAGTTTGGGTTAGTGATCTGCTTGATGACACTCAGGTGGAATGATAGAGTCCTAAGTGAAGTTTTTCCTGATAGTGTCAGAATAGAAATCCTGAAGATATCTTCCTTAGATCCCACTAAACCAGATGTTTGGAAATGGTCTTATGATGTTAAAGGTCACTTCTCAGTGGCAAATTCCTACTCTCAATTAATGAAAATAAAAACTCTGCAAATTATTGAGGCTGAGAGTAGCAGAGATGCAGGAATGAGGCCAACAGTAAGAAGCAGAACCTGGCAGCTTAAGGTGAAAGGCAAGGTGAAACATTTTCTCTGGAAATGTTACAATGATGTGCTGCCAGTGGGACTGAACATTAAGAAGAGGGGCATGGAGATTGACTGTATGTGCAGGATGTGTGGTGAAGATTTGGAATATGTGGATCATTTACTCATTCATTGTAGCAGAGCTAAGAGGGTATGGAAAATGACTCCACTGGCTTGGGCAAATGAGGAGGAAGGTCAGATATCCTTTAGACTGTGGTGGAACAATGTGTGCTCTGTGGACAAATCTGAAGTAGCAGAAGAAAGAATTCAGCTTTCTACTTACATTTTGTGGTGGCTGTGGCGATCCCGGAACTTATGGCTGTTTGAGAAGACCTGGATGCCTGAGGACATAATTGCTAAAGGGGCTTGGAGAGAATGGCAAGAGTGGGCTAATGTTGGTCACTTGTTTGAGTAGTCTGTTTGCTGCTTTTGTTTTAGTTTTTAGTTGTGGTGTGTAGAGCTTGTTCCTTTTTGTTCTTTGTATGTAGGTTAGATATGCTGTTTGTGCTAGGGCTTCATTTGTATTGTTTAGCTGTTTAGAGTGTGGTTTTCGGGTAAGGTCTCGGTGGTTGCATCCCCCCGCCTTAGTCGTTGGTTTTTATTGTCTCTAGACCACTTTCATAGTGTGTCTCCCATGGTTGTATGTCGGTTTGAACTCTTCGGATTTGTTCCGTTTTTTGTTATAGATTCTATCGGTTGGAAAAAAAAAAAAGTGCATATGGTATTTGCATTGTTCACTACTTTTTGAATTGATATTGTAATACGGATTTGAAGAGTGAAAAAAATGTCAGCAGGTATTTTATTTTTCTATTTTACTTTTTAATCTCATTGAAGTTAATATTAATATTAATATTAACATTTATAATTTATTATATAAACAAACTTACAAAAAAATATTACATTCGGTGAGAGATGAAAAAATAGTAAAACACAAATAATAGTCTTATATCACAACACAATTATTAATCCAATAGCCCAAATGACTGGTTTGTCGTAATGGATTTGCTACAAACCAAAATGAGTCGGGTTTCTTTGCTATCCAAGAAAATATAACTGAAAGAAAAAACAAAATACAATAATAATAATAATAATAATTCATTCATCAAAACCTGCCCAATTTTCCCCAAATTCAAATCACAAAAAGCTCTACAAACAACACAGCACAGAAGACAAAAGCATCTACAAATTCCGAGCAAGCAAACAGTAGGGCCTCAAGGAAAAGAACGCCATAATCAGATAGCAAGAACAAATTACAGTAGAGTGCATAAGTTTACGCTTCGGCTATTAGGAGATACAACTCACCTTCCCCAGTATTAAAAGAAAAATACACCGTGCTGACTGACAATTCACTGAGTCAGTAATGTAGAGTCGCATGCGACAATCTTAACAGCGTCAACAGTTTCTTGGCCTTCCTCACTTTTCAGCTGGACATTTTGCAAAATGAAGGTCCAGACGTTGTCACAAAATCGATAGGTATGAAGATGCCCCTGCACCAAAAACAAGAATAACCAATGGTTCCCACCTCAAAGCCTATCAGGTGTGGAATGAGAAGACCAAGACAAATAATAACACGGGTTAAATGCACATTGATACAACACAAATTGGCAGAGGATTTTCTTGTGACCCACTAGATCAGAGTGCAAAAAAATAAAAAAAAATGGACGTATAAAAAAGGCATGCTCAATAACCATGCTACTTCATCGAAGAACAAATATTGAAACAAAATATTTTTGGCTCTTTCGAGTATTTCCAATTGAATATTTACCTTTTGGCTAGTTCAATCACTACAACTAAAAATTCGAAACAATTATTGTGATCAATAACTCCTGGCAAAGAGAATACACATTTTCATGCATAAAGTAAAAAAGTTAAAACAACTTAATCAGGACTGATAATCCTAGAGAAAAAGCTCGAGTCAGAATATAGCTCATTTTAATTATACTAATTTCAAGTAAAGGATATTGTCACCCGAGACAAACTACGTTAACATATTTGAAAAGTAATACAACATATGGAGGTTTCAGCCTTCTATTACGTATATCATGGGAAACTTAGGCACTGACCACATTTAATATAACATTATCGTTTGTTTGCTTGAAGATATAAATTGAAGAGATCCATATCACCTATCAGCAGAATGCGGTTACATACATCTTCACAGAAAACGACATAATTAAAAATTATCTTGACTATAAATTCCTCATTCTTCATATAGACCATGAATCTGCAGCGTCACTATGTCAGGACGAGCATAAAAAACATAGAAAAAGTGATGATGATAAAGATGATAGTAATATTCACAATATAATAACAGAGAAGTATAACCTGGACTTTCAGCTCAAAAAAATATAAGTAAATAACCAGAAACAATAAATTGATTAATTGAGTTTCAGGTTCAACAAACAAAGTTTGTAATGACACAAACCCGAATGTATACATAAATAAGCAAAGATGAAATGGCATTCGAAATTTCCCCACTCCATATTGACTTCAATAATGTAAATAATGGTAGGTCGAAAAATGTTTATTTTCTATGTTTAACGGTGTATTTTTATACGCTTAGTTTAGCCATACTTCGACATTTTTAGACGTATTTATTTCGTGGACGAACATACACCAAAATGATATATTTTGTTGTTATTTCACAGCTTTCATTGTGAAATCGGTCCAATGTAGTCCTTTTACGAGCTACAAATAGTTCGTGTGAACTGTGAAGAATGCTTGCATATTGAATCTAATAACATGGAAATTTTTACAGCATCCTTTACCATAAAATAGAACGCCATTTACCTTGATTGAAACTTTGCTCTTCACCTCACTTTCTAAGGCTTCAGTCATTGACTGCAAACCAAGGAGGCAAAATTAAAGATGATTCAAATCGAAACTATGCATATCATTAACAGATAAATCCGGACCATAATCATGGAACTCAAGTTCAAGTAAAACCTTCAACATCAGTTTCCAGTCTACCATTGTACATGAACTATCAAAACATTAAACTATATGATGTAGGTCAGCCCCAAATTGCCTCCATTTCCAATAACTCCAAATCTGTAAACTGGAACCTATATCCCACACAGACCACGGGCAGAGCAGGTGTCCTAGTCCAAAAATTTAAGAAAATGGTGTGTAGCCATACTCATTTGAAGAGATTTCCAGCAATCTATCATGAATTTCATTAATTAATCTTTGACTCTTTTGCACTCATGTAAAATGAATCCTTCAAATTTTATTTTCACAGCAACAGAAAGGGATAAACACCTTATCGAACTGAATCAGTACTTGAATGGCGAGCTCGGGCGTAAGAACTCCGCTTGAAACCATCTGATCCAAAGTTTCAGTCAAGCACATTCCAATCGTAGACCTCCTGTACAACTCAAACGTCGCCATTTCCTCTACAACGACAATATGTATTATCCTACATATTACCGACCAACAAAGATAACAAATAATCATATTCGTTCCTCGAAGAAAAAAATAATAATAACAGCTAAAATCAGAGAGGAGAAACATTAAATCTTCGACGAAAACGAATTTACCCGCTCGTTTGATCGCTAAGAGCTCGCTGATTCAGAAATTTACAGGGAGGGGGGTTTGTGTCGCGAGGCAAACAGGAGAGGAGGGAGAGAAATTGGGGCCTTATATACCTAGATTTCAGAGATGGGGGATTATATATGCGAGCGCTGCAACCGACATTACACAGAAAGACGATAATAACCTCCAGGGTTTCGATCAATTACGAATTTAAACGTATTCATTTTAATTATGTTCAATTATATCTTCGTTACTAATGTCATTGACTATATCGGTTTATAAATCTACTAATTTAAATCGTATATGTAAACCTTAACTAATATTCGATTTATAAATCTACCAATTCAAATCGTATATATTAACCTTGACTAATATTCGATCTACAAACTAATACAAATAATTTTTTATACGTTATATATGTGTTTATATAATATTTGAAATCATAACTTAGAAAATGAGCATATCTAGTTTCAATAACTTTGTTCAAACAATTGTTTCAACAATTTATTTAATTGTTAATATATATAAGTATTTGACGCAGTATGGTTAAAAAAAATTCAACTGTTTTTTGCATTGGCTCATGAAAATTTCTAGATCCGCCGTTGACAAGTATTATGTTTCTTGTTACCGCTACTAATCTATTGAACACGTGTAACAAAAGTTGCGGACGGTAACAAATAAACAATAAGGTCGTTAAATCTGCTAAAAGTTAGTACTCCCTCTTATTTTTAATAAGTGTGGTTTGAGAAGTTGCACAGTAATTAAATTTTTTTTTTCAATAATAACCATCATTAATGGGAATAGAAATTGATGTTTTGAGAAAAAATGAAGAGTGAATATGAAAAGACGTAGTATATTATTAGGTAGATGGGGGTAATAATGGAACAATATGTACAAAAGATCCAAAACGTCATTTATTTGGTTAAATATTATTGATAAAGCCAAAATGACATTTAAAAAAAAAAGAGGTAGTAGTATATTTTCAGTTTTCAACCACGGCCTGAAAACTTGAACAAAATATTTAATGTTGTTTGCACCTTTTATTTTGTGCCACTTGTATATTTTGATTCATTAAAATTCCTTGTCGTCCAACAGAGACCTTCCTACCAAATGGGGGAAGGAGAAAGAGCTACATTTTGATTAACCATTGCTAATTCATAATCTTTTTCACATAGATATAATAGCCAGTTAATGGGGCATCCACTCAGAACACATCTCCTCAAGAGCTCTGCTCGACCACCGTATCTGATGGAGACGAGACCGTGATCGTCTTTTTGAATAAATACGACAAGCTTCGGGTTTAAGTTGTTTTTCTTAATTTGCTTATTATGTTATTTCTTTCATTTAATTTAGGTAATGAAATAAATATCTTGCAATATGTTAGGAAATATACTAGAATAGGACTCTTTCCCTTTTATTTATTTGCTGAACATCGAATGAAGAGGCAGATATTGAGAATTTTATCTGATTGAGTGAATTCATCGAGAGAGTATCTCGTTCTTTTCCCTTTCGTACTACACTTTACATCAGTTGATATCCAGAGACCAGCGACGATCCACGATGCCGCCAAAGAGAGATAACACCGATGATCATTTCCAATGAATGGAAGAGCGATTCCAAGGCGTGGATGAACGATTCACGGACCTCTCGTCAGGGATTGAGGAGATTCGCCATGCCATGAACACCATGATGGAGGAGAATTGTGCGAGACGCGACGGCGGCGACTGGGCCGGGCGCGGTGGGCTTCGCGGAGGCCGTGGAGGGCGTGGCTATGGCGGGGCAGGGACTCCGTCTGGCGCGGAAGACGAGAAGGACACGGTCAGCGAGGTGAATCCATTCGCTGAAGGATAGCGACGGCGACCGGCGGATGACGAGTTCTTCCGACAGAGGGATGACGGAGGCGAGCGCTTTGCTCGCGGCGGTGGTGGAGGTGATTTCAGGTGGCGCGAGGGTCGCTTTCTGCGGGCCTGAGAGTACGAGGATGACGATACCGATTTGAGGCATGATCGCCTAGGGTTTAGAGACGGCAGTCCGCATTTCGAGGAGGATGACAACTGGGATTTCGACCATCAGGGACGAGCATGGGCCCGTGAACGTCATGGGTATGGGCGCATGGGGTTGAACCGATGTGACGGCAAGCTCCCGATAGAAGGGGGCAATGAGTCGCGTTGGGAGCAGGCATTTCGTGTGGAGATTCTCGAGTTCGATGGAGGCGTAGATGGTTCAGAATTTATTGATTGGTGGGCTTCGGTGGAAGCCGCCCTCATTTTCAAGGAAGTCCTGGAAGAAAGGGGGGTCGCTTTGGTCGCCACACGTTTTCGGGGTCGGGCGGCAGTTTGGTGGATGGACTTTAGTAGCTTGCGGCATCGTCAAGGGAAACCGCCACTTTCATTGTGGGTTAAATTTCGTGAGCTTGTAGAGCGTGAGTTTGTACCTTTCAACTACGACAGCCTTGTTTATCAGCAGCTGCAGAATTTACGCCAAGGGACTCGCTCGGTGAATGAATATACGACGGACTTCCATCGGCTTTTGACTCGTGTCGATTTGCGTGAGACTAAGAACCAATTGGTTTCACGGTACGTAGGAGGATTACGTGCGGGGATTCGCGATATGTTGAATATGTTTCGACCAGAGTCGGTTTCGGATGTTCACCAACGGGACATTCTTGTCGAGGTCCAACTAGCATAGAAATCAGGCTCGTCATTTTCTTCTTCTTCGCGACCGAGAGCAACTACGGGGTCGGCTCCACAGTCCATGCGCTCCGCTCCGACGCCTGCCGGGGGTTTCGATCAGGTGGCCGGGCGTCTGCCGGCTTTCAGCGTAGGGGCCCAGCGAGCAGTCGGGGTTGGTGGACAATAGCCCTCTGCGGCGGTTTCGCGTACTATCGCGGGCCTGAGATGCTTCGGATGTGGGGAAGTGGGACATCGCCAATCGGTTTGTGATTGGTCGGAAAAAGTGTGTATATTATATATTTATTAACGTATTTTTATATGCTTAAATTTTATCGCACTTATATGTTTTTCGACTTATTTATTTATTAGATGGATTTTGAGTGCTATGATATTTTTGTGCATTATTTTCAGACTATTGGGCTACTCTTATATACGGCGAGATATTAAACGGAAGTTCCAACCGGCAGAATATGGGAGTGTCCCGTATTGTCCGTACTAACCCAGCAGCACCCCATACTCGGCCCAACAACTACCCAATTTCAAGCCCAATGATGAATCTTTAAATAAAGGCCTAGGGTCTTACATGGCAAGTTAGTGGAATAAGTGGGCCACATCTTTGTGTATTTGAAGAAACAAAATTAAGAGAATCAGGCCCATGTGGATTGATGGGAAACTTGAGCACGTATCATTAATTTGGAAGCATCAGGGCATAATATAAGTAGCCACTTTTATTGGAGAGAATAGGAATCACGAGGAATTTTATTTGCGAGCCGCTGTCCAGAGGATATTCACGCAGGAAAAAGCCGCCACACAGAGCCGCACGAGAGGAAAACGCAAGAAGCCCAATCAAACGTGGAGGGAGACCGCACCCGTATACGAGGGAGATAATTAATCTCTCTCTTTTATCTATTATTTCTTTTTATTTATTATGATAGGCTAGTTTTTATTTCTAGTTCCGGGGAAATCGAACCCTACGCACTTGATGATGTTTGATTAATTTATGTGGTTGATTATTGAGTTATCTTTTTGGAATTGCTTGTGTTATTTTGAATAATTCACCATGATGTGTTAGTCTTGTTTAGATTGATCACCTAGATTAGGCTTTTCATGTCTACATCTGAATTAGACCTTCAATCCGTATTTGTTGTTGTGTTTAATTCATAAGAGGTAACCGGAAGATGGTAACTACCGGGGATAACACGGCCTATTTAAGTGAGCGAACGCGGTTGAGTTCACTACTTAGTCTAGCCTATTTTTCTAATTCGTAAAGCGGCTAATTGTATTAAATCTTGAAAACGTTTTTCCGGACTGTACAAGAAGTCAGGTTTAATCGTCGAGCGTCTCGCGGTTAAATTAAAAATAAGAAAAAATTTGGGTAACTGACCGTGTCGTTGCCTAGGGCTAGTAATTTCATAAGATAGCGAGATTTGGTACCAGAATTAATTAGACGAGTCAGTCGAGGGTATAGACGGAACCGTGAACTAGAAACTTCTCTTTATTTATTCTATTTTATTTTTATTTCCTTTGTTTATTAGGATTTTTAATAAGTTTAGTTTTTAAACCAATCCCCCCCATTTATCGCTTTTTATAATTTCAATTAATACGAAAAAATTCACGATTTGATTCACACTCCTCGTGGGATCGACCCTTGCTCGCCACTACTACTAGTTAGTAGAGGTTAGTCGAGGAAAATATAAATTTTAATTTTGCCCCGTTGCGACGCGCGGTCAAATTTTGGCGCCGTTATCGGGGAGTGGTGTTATTGAATTGTGATTTTTTTTTTAGTACTAATTGAAGTTTAATTTCTTAGGATTTTATTTTTATCATCTTTTATTCCTCTTTTACTTGTTTTATTTCTTTTATTTTCTTGCAGAATACTGGGCGCCTCCATACTCTGCTGGACAGAATAGTTCGCCCCCATACTCGCGGGATTGACTAATCTTTGGGCGATTTTTGCGAGCTTTGAACAACTTTTCGAGATGGCAGTCTATTATCACGATTTTTATTCCTACGGTGCACCTTACCAGTATGAGAGGGAGACGAGGCCCGTGGATTGGAGACCGAGGCGTAAGAGGACCCAGTGGTTGGCGAAGGGACGAGCAAGACTACTACTATCCTGATGAGTATGAATACCGCTTGAGAGAGCACTCGAACTCTTTCCATGGGTTCTCCGAGCCATTAGTTGAGAGACATCCCAGCCCATCGCTCGAGGATATGGTGAAGGAGTTGACGGCTAACACCCTTAACTTTCAGCAAGGTGTTGAGGCGAGCATCAAGAACGAAGGATTGCGCATAAGGAATTTAGAGGACCAAATGAGCCAATTGGTGGAACAGATGGACCGACTAGTGTATCGGATCGAAATGAGTCCAATGAGTTTGAGCATTACCCATTCATACAGCGAGGACCTCGAGGAAATTGAAGAGTGCACACACGAGCCAGAGAACGAGAAAATT